CTCTTTTATTACAAGGGGGAGTCTCAGCCAAGAACCTAGAAGGGTAGAAGTAAATTTATTTTTCCTCCCCTACAGTGCATTCCTTCTAAGAAATGAACAGGGAAGCACGGGGGCAGGGACACCCAGCTCACGAAGGGCTCAGACAAACAGGTTCCAGCCTGGTAGACCTCAAGAGGGCAACTCGCTGGCAGTGGCTTATCCTTGCGGGCGCAGGGACAACGCAGGCCTTTCATTAGTGAGAAGGCTGGGCTTGCAGAACCTCATTGGAACTGTGGCAGAAACTTGGCTCAGGCTGCATCTCTCAAGGAGAAAGAGGAGAGAGAGCAGCAGCCTGCTGGGCATTTGTCCTTCCCCCCCACGCCAACCATAGCCCCTGCCCCTGCTGCCCACCAGCCCCCTGCTGCAGACAGGATCTTGAACCTCAGCTCATTCTAGGTGAGACCTCAGGAAAAAAACCAGCCCTGTTCCAGGCCTTAGCCTCAGCGAGGAACCCAAAATGCTCCCTACAGTTCTCTCCACAGATCTGAAATCCCAGCCTGTGGGGGTGCAGCGGGAAAGGTGTTTTCCAAAGCCGGCAGCTTTGCAGAAAAACAAGGATTAGAGAGGCAATTAGAGGTTTGACAGCCAATAATCAGGGGAAGAAAGCAAGAAGAAACCAGCAAGAGGTCAGCAAGAAGCCTCAGGCCCTTCAAAATTTGAACAGTTGCAAAAAAATCCCAAACAAGCCTCTCTCCCTCTCTTACCAAGTCTGGGAGCGGTGGCTTAAATGAAGGTAGCGCCTAAGTGGATTTCCATAACCATCCGTCTGCACCCTTCCTCATCACTAAACTTGTTATGTCGTGTGTATATTTACATATGTAGTCTGTTTTGCTTTTTTCCCTTACAATCAACTTTCTTGAGATTTAATTGACATTCAATAAAATCCATCTCTTTAACTGAATTTTGACAAATATGTATACCCTGATTAGGAGAGAGAACATTTTCATCACCCTAAGAATTCTTCTGGCCTCCTTGCAGTCAGTCCCCCTTCCCATTCCTAGCCCCAGCCCCAGGCATCTATTGATCTGCTCTCCTTCACACTAATGCAGTTTTGCCTTTTTTAGATTTTCTTTTTTTTTTTTTTTAGATTTTATTTATTTATTCATGAGAGACACAGAGAGAGAGAGAAAGGCAGAGACGTAGGCAGAGGGAGAAGCAGGATCCATGTAGGGAGCCCAAGGTGGGACCCAGTCCCGGAACCTCAGGATCATGCCCTGGGCCAAAGGCAGGTGCTAAACCACTGAGCCACCCAGGGATCCCCTAGATTTTCATATAAATGAAATTATGTATTCCTTTATGTCTGGCTTCTTTATTATTGTTGCTATTGTTCAGATGCTGCTGTAAGAATTTTTTTTAATTTTCATATTGGGGGCACCTGGGTGGCTCAGCGGTTGAGCATCTGCCTTTGGCTCAGGTTGTGATCCTGGGGTCCTGGGATCAAGTCCCGCATCAGGCTCCCTAAAGGTAGCCTGCTTCTCCCTCTGCCTATGTCTCTCTCTCTCTTTCTCTCTCTCTCTCTCTCTCTGTGTCTTTTATGAATAAATAAAATCTTTTTAAAATTTTCTCATATTGAAACTGCTTGCAGCTAGCAAAAGTTATTTCTTCCTTGTATATTGACCTTGTCTCTTACAATCTTATTAAATTCAATAACTAGTTCTAGTACTTGTTATAAAGATTCCTTAGGATTTTCTAGTAAACTATGACATCATCTGTGACTAAACACAGTTTTCCTTCTTCCTTTCTGATCTTTATATCTTGTATTTGTTTTTCTTCTCTTATGCACTGACTGGGACCTCTAGTTCCACACTGATCTTGGGAGGTGGACAAGCAATCTTTTACCACCAAGCATGACGTTAGCTATAGATTTGTTGTAGATACACTTTATCAGGTAGAGGAATTCCTTCTTTTTTTTTTTTTTAAGACTTTATTTATTCATGAGACACACAGAGTGAGGCAGAGACACAGGCAGAGGGAGAAGTAGGCTCCCTGCAGTGAGCCTCATGCAAGACTCTAACCCAGAACTCTAGAATTACAAAGTGAGCCAAAAGCAGATGCTCAACCACTGAGCCACCCAGGCATCCCAGAGGAATTCCTTCTTAATCCCGATTTGCTGAGAGCTTTTTTCAGGAATGATTATTCAGTTTTGTCCAATGTTTTGTTTTTCTTGATCTATTGACACTATCATCCAGCTTTTCCTTTTTATTCTGCTCATATTTTGAATTACATTGATTGACTTTCAAATGTTAAACCAGTCTGTCATTCCTGAGACATATCTCTTTTGGTCATGATGTATAGTCCTTTTTATATATCACTGAATTTGAGTGCTGCTGTTTCAATAAAGATTTCTACCCATTTTAATCCCTGCTGTACCCTCAGAGCCTAGAAAACAACCTTAAACAGGATAAATGCTCAATAAAAATGCATTGAATAAATGAATTAATCAATCAAATATCTTCCTCAATGTGGAAGTCAACGAATGTGCCCATTTCAATGTTTGGCAGTGTCCACACTTCCCTGTGAAAATGTTGTCCCAGTCTGCACTCCCACCAACACATATGCCAGGGTATTGCTGCTCACTGCAATAATTTGCAGCAACATGGATTGGTAGTCACAGCCACCATTCCTTTGCTGTGTGGTAGGCAGCAGAAGAGGGAAGTACTCGATTCCCCCACACAAACAGGGGTGGCTTTATAGAAAAGCTAATTGTTGAGCTGGTCTCAGAGGAGGTCCAGCAGAGGAAGGGGGCATCCTAGGCAACAGCATGTTCCAAAGCACAGAGGCATGAAAGATCATTGCATCAGCCACTAACTAGCTGTGTGACCTTGGGCAAATTTGTCCTGCTTATCCATAAAACGGGAACGAAAACAACAGGGCTGCCAAACAATGTGAGTAACCAACAAGATAATATATGTGAAAGACCTTGGAAAAACTTTACATGAAGGCAGTGTTACTCTTCACAAGGGGGTGGGGAGGCCTGTTCATGTGCCCAGCATAGCCCAGACTAGCTTAGCCAAAGCAGGCAGGAGGCTGGGTACTGCCTTGCTGTTAGAAGCCTGGGTCTGCCTCAGACACCTCCATAAGAGCAGACAATAGGTAGGGCTCTGCTCTAAGGAGAGCAACTCCTCGGATTAGAACCCTGCCCGGATGGGAGAGGTTCCCTCCTGGTTAACAGGGCCCCCTAACTCTCTCCTTCCTTCTATTCATGCCTCATAAACCATCTTCAGCTAAGACCAAGACTGACTTCACCAGCAGCTAAAGCAAGGGATTTGGGAGATCTAGGGAACCGAAAGAAACTCGCTTTTCCCCCCCTTCCTGTTTGCCTTCATTTTTTCCTTTTCTCTTTTTTCCTATATCATGGAGCTAGTGTGCTTTTTCCCCTTCCTTAAGCCTGGGAGTAATGGTTTTAATATGGAGTATTCACTGCCTTTGTGTTTTGGATGACTGCTCCTAAGAGCTGTTTTTAAAGAGTCCCAGCAATCAAATATCTAGCTCTTGTGTTTGCACACAATTTCCCTTCTGCTGAGCTCTTTTTGTGTTTACACACTGGACATCCAGCAGCTTGGTCTGGAGATTGAAAACAAAGGGCTGATCTATCCTGTACCTTGTGCCTCTGGAGGGGGGGGTAGGGAGGCCTGTGAGAGCAGTTAGATTTTTTTGCTACAAAGTAGGTGAGAGGCATGAAAACTTCCAGCAGTAGTAAGGGAAGAAACACAGAGGAGGAGGAGGTGGTGGCTTTGGGAGGATTTCAGGAGATGGAACTGCCAGGTGAGTGAGTGACGGACTGCTGAGAAAAAGAGAGGGAGGGGGCGGAGTCCACCATGGTGTCACCTGGTATCATCACCGGGACAGGAAATTCAAGCGGCGGGGCAGGTGTGGGGGAGGAGAGGAAGAGAAAGGGGAGTACTTGGGACATTTATTCATTACTTTCTAGGGCATTACTAGCAGCAGGTGCCTTGTCAGGCACCATTAGAAATAAAAGAAACCGGGGATCCCTGGGTGGCTCAGCCTTCGGCCCAGGGCATGATCCTGGAGTCCGGGATCGAGTCCCACATCAGGCTCCCTGCATGGAGCCTGCTTCTCCCTCTGTGTCTCTCTCTCTCTCTCTCATGAATAAATAAATAACATCTTTAAGTTAAAAAGAAAGAAAGAAAAGAAACCAGATTCCTGCCCTCCTGAAGCTTCCACTCCGGGGTAAAAGATCAGCTTAAAGGAATAAATCAACAAAGTAACTACAGGAGCCTACGTAAGGAAATTAAATGTAATCATGTGATAATGTGGGGCAGGGTAGCAGAGAAGGCCTGTCCGTCAGACCTGGAGGTAAGAGGCCAGCCTGAGTTTGACAGTCACCCAAGGACATCCGAGTAGAGAGGCAGCTGGACTAGGGAAGCTTGGAACTCAGAAGTCTGAGCCGCAGATAGAGAGGATAAACCAAATGCATTTTTGCAGAGCCACAGAAAAAAAATAATGATTTTTTTATAAAAGCACACCCCGTTATAGGGGTGCCCTGGGGTCCAGGCTGCTGAGATCACGTGTTTTCCCTGGGCTGGATGTGGAGTACAGAGCTGTGAAACCGAAGATGCAATCTCTACACCTTTTTGCACATCGTATCACAAAAGCTCAACTGAACTGAAAACAGACTGAAAAACGGTTGGGAAGTCCGGGCCCCGGGTCCCCCCGGGCTTTGTCTAGCCGGGTTTCTCCGCGTCGGAGCGGGTACCAGGCAGCCTCGGCCGGTTCCGGCTCCCGGCGCCCCGGCCCAAGCAGGCCCCGCCCACCCGGCCCGACCGCGCAGTCGCCCCGCCCACGTCCGGCGCCGGCCAATGGGCGCGCGGGATCCGGGCCCACACCCCCGCCGCGTGCCGCCCCGGGCTCGCGCAGCCGCGTGACGACACGGCCCGGCCCCCGCCACGTGACGGCCGCGCGCCGGGCTCCGGCTGGTGCTGGGCTCGCGCCGCAGAGGCCGGTGAGGCGCCGGCGGCCACGCCGCGGAGGGCGCAGCGCGGGGGAGCGGGGAGTCGGGGCGCGCGCGCATGGCGGGGGCGCCGGCGGCCGCCTGAGGGCAGCCGGGCGAGCGGAGCGGGCCACCTCGCGCATCCCTCGAGCGACCTCGCGCCCGCGGCACCCGGCGGCGGCGGGCCGCGGAGCCGGCGCGGCCATGGCGACGGGCACCCAGCAGAAGGAGAACACGCTGCTTCACCTCTTCGCCGGCGGGTGAGCGTCCTGGCCCGACCGCACCTCGCGGGCCCCCACCCCCGCTGCGCCCTGGGGCGCCCCGGCCGGCCGGCCGCCCTCCCCAGGCCGGAGCGCGGGCTCCTGGAGGAGGAGGAAGTCCCGACGCTGGGGAGGCCCCGGGGGCGCGGGCCTTCCCCGCCCCGGGCCGCATCCTCCGAGGGCGGTTTTACCCCGTGCCCGCCGCGCTCCCGCGGCCTCGCCTGCTTTTTCTCCTTTTCGACAATTAGAAGCTGGTGTGACGAGCGTCACTCGGGGGCGGTCCTGCCTGGCCCTTGTGGCTCGGTCCGCCCTACGCCCTCCCAGCTGGCGGCGCAGGTCGTGCCGCACTCGCCGTCCTTCTGCCTGGATTGCGCTCCGGGGCCTTTCCCCCAAGGCCCTGGGCAGTCTGACTCGTGGATGCTCGGGCGCGGGGCCGGGGGGCGGGGGGCTTCCTCCGGGTAGCGCGTCGGCGAGTGCAGTCTGGAGGGCGGGCAGCAGGTGATGGGCATCAGCCGGGGCCCGCAGGGTGCTGGCGTTGCGAGATGCTGGCCTGCAAGCAACCTGTGGGAGGGCTCCTGGGGGCCCTCGGGGTGGGGGCGGGAACGAGGTCCGGAAGCTGTGTTGAAATGCTTTCCACCTGCTGGTGGACGCTTCCCCGGAAAGATGTGCCCTGTGTTTTGAGAGCTGCATTTTTTTTTTTTTAAACATCATGCACATGATATTTTTCAGGGGTGGCAACGCATTTTTAGGGACGTTGGGTGGTAGGGAGGTTAGGAAGGGAGCTGTTTTGTTTTTTTGTTTGTTTTGTTTTCAGAAAATAGTAGTGAAGATGTGTTCTAGCATTAGTGATTTTCTTTTAATACAGCCAGTGGCTCTGGGTCTTTTTGAAGTCTTCCAGATATTTTGTCTTACTTGAAGACCTCGCAAGCCTGGCACAGCAATTCTAAAGTGTAGAACGTTCTGCATAAACTAGAATTTATTCTGGATTATCATCTTGAGTATTTTAGTTGCAGCTTAGACTGAGATATGTTCATTATTTCAGACTAGTATCGGTTGAGAAAACTTAACCTGCAAAATAACTACGATGAAAGTGTACTTATTATGGGTGATCACCCACTCTGTTTCTCCAAATAAAAAATGTTGGTTCTTCATACGTAGGGAGAATTTCTCATTCATCTCTTTCTTGTCATTCCCTCTTCATCCTTTCACTTCATCTCCCAGTGTTTCCTGAGAGTCACAGGGGTAAGGGGGTAGCATTTCTGAAGTCACACAGGATATTAATTGGTCATTCTGAGGAATTTTAAACAGGTTGGCCATGTTAAAGGCATCTCTCAAGCCAAGAAGGGTAACTGAAAAATGATTTTATACTCCATGATTTTGATTTCATGTTAGTGAGGTGGGCTTTACAAAAATCCTTTGTACTCAAGATTAGGAGAGTTACATGCTCCGGAGCAGCCTCTGTTAGGCTTGCTGCATAATCCATTGCCCTGTCTTGCTGAATCTCCCTACCCGCCCTTCACAGTGCCCTCTGGCTGCTAATTCTCCGGCCGAGCACCAGCCTCCTGTGACAAGGGAAACCGCAGTAGCCGGGGCTTGCAAGGACTGATTAAAATGTAGAGGGTTTATTAGAATGGTGCCTGAAGCCATTGTATTTAACAGGTTCCTTCTTAAGCAGCAGTTCGGGATTACTTGCAGACACACTCAAGAAAGAAAATAAATCTTCCAACAGGATGCTTTCAGAGTAACTAATTGGATTTTGATTCATTCCCAGTAGCCTGAAATACATTATTTCAATTTCTTTAAGGGAAGAACATTAAAGGAGCTAAGTATTGAGTGCTTAGTATATTATATAGTTAAAATCAGTAAACCCAGTGGATCCACCTGGTGTGATGGCCGATAGCACTGCTTTGCTCTAAGTAACTAGTTTTCACTGTTAAGCTGGCATTTTTCCAAAGAACTGAAATTCAGGTCTTTGAAAAGAAGTCAGAGCCCTTTGTTTATAAATTGGTCACATTTCTCCTGTTGAATAGTCATTGGACTCTTAAGATCAAACAGTTTTTTTTTTTAATTTTTATTTATTTATGATAGTCACAGAGAGAGAGGCAGAGACACAGGCAGAGACACAGGCAGAGGGAGAAGCAGGCTCCGTGCACTGGAAGCCCCATGTGGGATTCGATCCTGGGTCTCCAGGATCGCGCCCTGGGCCAAAGGCAGGCGCCAAACCACTGCGCCACCCAGGGATCCCCAGATCAAACAGGTTTAATGCTGTCACTAGTTAATGATATAGAACGATTGTTTTTATCAGGTAGCAGAGGCTTAGGTATAGTTGAAAATTAACTTTAGAGCGTGGGAAATAAAAACTACACCCGAAACAACTCATAGTCTTTTAAATTTTTTTGATTTTTTTTAAAACCATTTCTTGGGCTCTTTGCAAAGGTAAAAATACTCCTGTTTTAATCTGTAATAGTCCTCTTTTTAACAGTGTTACCCTTAAAGAAGAGAACTGGAGAAAAAACCACCCACAAATCAACACCTAAAATAAGCGCTTTAGAAATGGTTCTATGCATGTGTATGTGTACTAAATGTAATTCCATAGCTAGTTTTAAAATAGGCTCATATTCTTTAAATTGCTTTCTTCTTAGTAATACACTGAGTTTTTTTTAATATTTTCTTTTTTTTCTTTTTTAATTTTTTTGTTTGTTTTATTTATGATAGGCACACAGTGAGAGAGAGAGAGAGGCAGAGACATAGGCAGAGGGAGAAGCAGGCTCCATACACTGGGAGCCCGATGTGGGATTCGATCCCGGGTCTCCAGGATCGCGCCCTGGGCCAAAGGCAGGCGCTAAACCGCTGCGCCACCCAGGGATCCCCTACACTGAGTTTTAATGGCAGTATGTAGTGAATTTTCTAGGTAACCCTTTAATCAGTCCTTAATGTTGGGTGGTTGCAGTGAGGAAGGCAAACTCAGCTTCCAAGGCCAGTGACTGGAATGTAGAGTGAGGATGTTATAGTAACTTTATGACAGGGCTACCTAATTTATAACTTATTCTGATGACCTTTCTTTTTAATCTTGTTTCTTATTTTTTTGCTAACATGAATAACTAGATATCCTTATGTGTAGTTCTCTGGTTACTTCCTTAAGATAAACCACTAATGGTATAGTTGCTGAGTCAAAACACATTTTTAAGGCTTTTGGTACCTCCCAGCACATTCATAACCAGTTTTTTTTTTCTTTTTTTTTCTTTTTTTTTTTAATTTTTATTTATTTATGATAGTCACAGAGAGAGAGAGAGAGAGAGAGGCAGAGACATAGGCAGAGGAAGAAGCAGGCTCCATGCACCGGGAGCCCAATGTGGGATTCGATCCCGGGTCTCCAGGATCACGCCCTGGGCCAAAGGCAGGCGCCAAACTGCTGCGCCACCCAGGGATCCCCATAACTAGTTCTTAAAATGTGTTACTTCTGCATGAACAAACATCATTCACTTGATGTTGATTTTTAGTGTCTTTAGGGATTCTGTGGTTTTTCTGCTTCCTTCCTCCCAAAATCTGGGCAGTATCATCAGTATAAAAAACCTATTCAAACAGGTTTTGTTACTATATAGCAAAACCTGTAGTTCCTTTCTACTCTTCAGACTCTCTCAGTAAGAGAGACGCTGAAATCCTCTGAAGTTGCCCATCTGAGGCTAGACTTTATGTCTGTTAAGAAAAATCCTTTAAACTTTCCTTCTCACATGTCTTGGGGGTTCTCATAGTCCATATAGTGTTAGTGATGCCCTTCACCTGTTAAACTAGCAGTGACAGCCGGGTGATGACTTAGCAGACATGCTCAGCACCTGAAATAGCTAGGCTAAGCTGCCACTGGAGTTAGAGGGGGACAGCCTGGATTATATGCTTTAGTCCTCTTTTTGTAGCATGATTTTTTTCTTTTGTCATCAAAAATACATATCTTTAAAAATCTATTTTAGTGGGAATATGGTAAGTCTTTAAGGTTTTAAAATACATAATCAAGATAATTTTCAATATTCAGTATTTCATGTACCCTCCCCCCTTCCATTATGGGCAGCTGTCACCTGGTATACTTCTGTGCTGTGCTTGTCTCTATGGATGTAATCTGTATCAGCTAATGGTTACTTTTGGAGTGTTAGGCACATATTCCTGTATTTGCCAGGGGACCAATGCAAAGAAGGTGCAAGATTTATTTAAAATGCTTAAAGAAATTTTGGTAAGATAGGTATAGTGTGCGCATAATACTTTATATAGGCATACCTACATATAGATATATTGAGAATATAAGCTGACTTTCATTTCATCAGTGTACTTTTTATTTGTGACAAACATTTTTCAATACTATATGGTTTTTGTATGAAAGATTCCTGCTAGGGATCCCTCGGTGGCGCAGCGGTTTGGCGCCTGCCTTTGGCCCGGGGCGCGATCCTGGAGACCCGGGATCGAGTCCCACGTCGGGCTTCCGGTGCATGGAGCCTGCTTCTCCCTCTGCCTGTGTCTCTGCCTCTCTCTCTCTCTCTGTGACTAGCATAACTAAATAAAAAAAAAAAAAAATTAAGAAAGATTCCTGCTAGAAGTAAGCTTCATGAGAATAGCAGCCATGTCTGTTTTCATCACTAGTATATCGCGAGTGATACTGGTATCACACGTGTTACACATGCTTGGTCAGTACTTGTTTAAATGAATAAAAGGTAGTGTGTGTCTTATCTGGGGGTTTAGGTTTATGTGGCCTGCTAAATTGTCCCAAATAAAGAGAAGCAGTACTTTGATTATTTACGAATTGTGAACATGGTTCTATATTAACATTTGCTGAAACTATATTGGCGTAAGGTAACATTATTTTGGATTTGTGTATTTGCAAAAAATAATGATTCTCTTCAGGTTCAGAAAGTACTACAGGATTTTTTAATCCATTCATAGGGTGCTATTTAAATTTTCTTTCTAAATGAAATGGAATATAGGAGATAGTATCTAAAAGGTAATTAGCTGCATTG